TTGAATGAATTTCTTCTCATAGATTTCTTCGTTTCTTTGTTTTTTCTCTCTTACATATGTTCATTGTTATTATACCCTTAGACAGAATTTTTGACTATTATTTATACAAAAACCAAAGCAACCACGATCTCGTTCTTGAGCATGAAATATTGTTACTCATTGTTCTTCTTTTTTTCTTCGGTTGGATACGCCAAACGTTGTGAATAGATAAAGATGTTAGGACATTTTGGTTCGGGATAAATGTTCGGTGTATTCGATAGGAAAAAAAACTTTTCGCCATTGTTTATATTCCTCTTCAAGTTCTTTTGTTCTTCTTTTCTTTTTTTGTTGTTGTAAGTGTGTGTGTGTGTGTGATCTTTTTTTTGAGAAAAAAACTAACCTGGCAAAAACCATGATTATTATGTGATGCATATTGGCTTAATAAATTTTTTTAAACGAAAAAACCGAGTAATTGAACACCTGTTTATAGCACAGGCTACTATCTGATGAGTAGAAGGTATGGGTTAGGTTAATCAAAATGTATAATTTCTTTTAGATTTTGATTTTGTATATGAAAACTATGGTAGAGGTCATGCGATCGACCGGGAATGCAACGGGTGCTTCGGGTGAATCTCACGAAGGGATTAAACAATATTATATTCAAAAAATTGAAGAACTTCAGGTAATGTGCAATGGATGCGAAGAGGAAACTTAGTGAAGGGAATATGTGTTTAGTTAAATGTGGCGGAAAAGAGTCAAAATCTACGTCGTCTACAAGCGAAACGAAACGAATTGAATGCGAAAGGTAATGGATGATAATAGATTAGGTCAAGTCCAACACTGATAATTTTATGTAGTTCGTATGTTACGCGAAGAATTACAATTGCTACAAGAACAAGGTTCATTAGTTGGTGAAGTGGTTAAAGCTATGGATAAGAAGAAAGTTCTTGTTAAAGTAAACTTCATTATGTCTTTAATTATATCCTTAATCTCCATAGTTATATTTCAGGTTCATCCTGAAGGTAAATTTGTTGTTGATCTCGATAAAAATATCGACATGGCCAAAGTCACTCCGAGTTGTCGTGTGGCATTGAAAAACGATAGTTATACATTACATAAGATTCTACCGAACAAAGTAGAGGGTTATCAAATTTATTTTTGTATAAGACTACTCATTTGTTTCGATCTCAGGTTGATCCGTTAGTCAGTTTGATGATGGTGGAAAAAGTTCCTGATTCGACCTATGAAATGGTTGGTGGTCTCGATAAACAAATAAAAGAAATTAAAGAAGTTATTGAACTACCAGTGAAACATCCAGAACTATTCGATGCACTAGGCATTAGCCAGCCCAAAGTACGATACTGATCTACATAGGAAAATGATCGAATGTCAGATTTTAGGGTGTGCTACTTTACGGTCCACCGGGTACTGGTAAAACTCTCTTAGCTCGAGCAGTCGCACATCATACTGAGTGCACGTTCATTCGTGTCTCGGGCTCTGAATTGGTGCAGAAATTCATTGGCGAAGGTTCACGTATGGTCCGTGAGTTGTTCGTGATGGCTCGGTAAGAGAAAAAGAAGATTTCGTTATGCAAATCATGTTACTCTTTTCGTTCAGTGAACACGCTCCGTCGATTATCTTCATGGATGAAATTGATTCGATCGGTTCGACACGTGTGGAAGGCAGTTCAGGTGGTGATAGTGAAGTTCAAAGAACAATGCTAGAATTACTCAATCAATTAGATGGTTTTGAACCGAAACAAAATATCAAGTAGAAGCGAAAACCATAACATTCTGCTTTATTGATTGAAACGCACATTTAGAGTGATTATGGCGACAAATCGTATTGATATTCTCGATCCAGCACTTTTACGTCCAGGACGTATCGATCGTAAAATTGAGTTTCCCGCACCTGGTGAAGAAGCTCGACTCGATATTCTAAAAATCCATTCTCGTAAAATGAACTTGACACGTGGCATTAACCTACGAAAAATCGCCGAAATGATGCCGGGCGCATCTGGTGCCGAAGTTAAAGTATAAAAACATTATTATTCTTTCATAAGGCTAACTCTTAATTATCTTTCTCTTCTAGGGCGTGTGCACTGAAGCCGGAATGTATGCACTTCGTGAACGCCGTGTACATGTAACTCAAGAGGATTTTGAATTGGCAGTTGCTAAGGTAACAAATCAGCCACTTAATGAAACTAATACAGAAGCACGTTTACTTTTCTTTCTAGATCATGCAGAAAGATTCCGAAAAGAACGTCTCATTGAAAAAACTTTGGAAGTGATCAAACTCGTTTTTTCTCCTATCTTTTTTTATGATCAATTTATTTACAGTCGGACTGTTTGTTGAAAAATATATATATATAGACAATAAATCAAACCAAGATGAATCGATAATTTCTAGAAGAAGAAAATAAACTAATTTATTTTGAAAACAGTTCGTTCGAATAACAAGAGAATACTGAAACTGATTACAAGAAAAATACATTTACCATACGATAAAACTCTCTACAAAGCTACTATAGATCTAAAAAGATGAATCTGTCATTTACTACCCGAATCTACCAGACTTAATAGTTCTCTCTTCGATAACGAATAACCAATCAAGTTCAATACCATTGACATTGTCAAACGGAGCGTGAAGTTCGTCGACTTGTCCATTGGCTCGAGTCACTTCAACTGTTCGAATGGTTTCTCGAACTTGATACGAGCCCATGTTGAATTCTTCTTCGTCGACTTTGGTTTCGCTTCGTTTTCCTAATTGAAATTCTACTCGTCGTTCATGAACATTACCGTCATGAGTTGTGATTGGTTCATATAAAATTCGAACATAAATACTTCCGCTCGAATTGTTTCGAATGGTGCATCCGTGAACTAAACATGGAGCAGCACGACCAATCATCCCAGTTAGTAATAGTTTATTTTTGTTATTTTGGCTCGACTGCACGAGAAAAGAAATGCAAAAAAAAGAGAACTATATGTCATTCACTCGTTTTGCAACATTTAGCGAAAGAAAAAAGAATAAGAACGGAAAAAATACTCTGTCGATTCTCCTAATACACAACGGTTCTCTTCAGAGGAGAAGTAATGTGCAAACGTAGTCCGTCCGCAATAAATGTGCTGTAATCCGAAGAAGTAAAATAAGAAAAATGTGATTCGTTGGAGCAGTAAGAAACGCGTAGCTGACGTTCTGCTCGGCGTTACGTCGAATAAATAATTTCGATTGATTATTTCGATGTTGACTTTTTAATGATTTACAAATACATCAATGTGCGTTTCGTCTATTTCTCTGTAATACAATATCGAAGTCAAATCTTCGGTGTATTCAGAAATAGTTTTATGATTGATTGCGACGAAACATTCTATTTCGATAGAGACTTCGTCGCCGAGTCTCGCGAAAGAACATAACCTTTTCGAATGAGAATGAAGTGATTAGAAATACTATGATTTGTTCTCAGTATATTTACATGTATAGCTTTAGCATAGCTGAAGACTTGTTTCTAGGTAACTCGACACAAGTGATGTATGCAGGAATTTTGATGGCTGTTGTCAATTGCTGAAAGAAAAAAACAGAGACGCCAAATGTCAAAAAACGTCTTGCATCTATTCGTCAGTAGAAAGAAAAGGAGAGTTTCTTGCCAGTTTAAGTCATGAAATAGTTTACTAAATCTAAATCGTTGTTTTTCGCCGTATGTCAGTTTGTATGAAGTAAAACGTTGTCAATCGAGCTTGAAAAGCAGCTGATACAGACAAAGTACATTGGTTCTGTTGGGTAAAACTTGAAAACGAATAGTGAGGTGTTGCTGTTTGCGTCAGGATACAACCAGTGCCGATTACCTTGATGTGAGGCAGAAAAGATAATCTTATTGTTTCATCGATTCCATTATCAAGATAGTGATGATTATTAGCATAGATGTAAGTCCACGTGATATTGCGTTTTATTGTTACAACACCTGAAATCTAAACAGTTGCATGAATAAAATCGAATATAAAAGTTCTCGCCTGCGATTAGTATGTAATAAATCAGCTTGCTCTTTGTTCATATCGATTCATTGGTAGTAATTGCAGTTAGCAGCAAGAAATACACACACAATTGATTAATATAATTTTAACAACATATTAGTATCGAACTTTACTCTCTTCTCTTCTCACATGTTCGCTCACAAGTTCTACGATGACTTTTTAAAAGGTATACTTCTTGTCCAAAGGCAGCCTAATACGTACATGCAACTATCACGATTATTAATACATTTTGTGACGCATACGAAATTTGAATATTGCTAGAAAGTTTATGGTTTAATAGAGTCTAGCAAGATTGTTCTGGACACTGATCTGAAGACAGCTGTGAGCTATCAATTGAAAATATCTATCAGAAAACATTCAATGGAATGGTATGAAACTTGAATATTCTCAGAAACGGTTTCCCTATCATTCTTTGCTATAATACGTAATAAAAAAAGAGTATTTAGATGTGTATCAATGTACTATTGCTAACAACCGAGATTTCAAATTGTTCGTTCCAATTCTGTTTTGCAGTCGACATGAATATTCCGTAGATTGGATACATTACGCTATCAAATGCCAAAGATTGATCAGATGTAGTTGACTAATATATTTATTCTTTTGTAGAATCAAAATAAATATCAATCGTATGATTATTCGGACATTCTGTGTTCGTGGAGGAAACGTTCTTTTGCATATCTGATTACCTCTCATGGACAACTTCTTCGTCTACTGCCTGTGTCCAATAATTTATTGATTTTATGTGCGTAGATAAACACAAAATATATCTATATGTGCATTCACATTCTTACAGGCCATTGTAACGATGTCTTGTGATGGTCTCTGACATTGCCGTATTTAATTTTGCTCCAGCATACCAAGAAGTCTCGCTTCCCATCTACATTCGTGGAGCAAGCGAAAATATGAGTATTTATATCAAGTCCCTCGTTTTATTAGGAAGCTTTTTTTTATAAGAAACGTTTCAGAAATAAATTAAACGAACCAACTTCTATTTCATCGGTATGTTATCAGATGTTCACCGTATGCACCGGCGTCATGATAAACTACAAAGATATGTTGACCATCGGTCGTAGTATCAAATCCTTGAGGTGGTACTTTCATTGATGATACACCAGGGCATGTTTTGCCAATTAAAACACGTGCCAAAAACATTGTTCGCTCATCTGTAGCATCTGGGCTCGTATACGATGAGCTATACTTTGCATGTTCATGGAAGTAAACCCCACAACCGTATGCAACTCCTAAACACTTACAACGATATAAGAAGTATTCTCAGAATGAACACAAAATAGATACCATTGACACCTGCAAATGCTCGATTAAAACATTCGTTTATGATCTTGTCAGCTGACACTTTATTGCAACCGTGGAAAAGTAATCGCTCATCAGGCTGTGCATAACGTTGAGTAAATTCATCACGATGTGCAGCATACTAACAAATCAGACAATCGTCGAAGAGAAAACTTCATTTTCAAGACTACCTGTTTGTACCAACGTTCATTTTGAATGCGTTCAATCTTCACAATTGCTCGATAGTTTCCTTTCATTGTTTCATCGAATTTAGCGAGTACGTCTTTGAATTCCTTGGATAAACTCGAAAGAGTTACTCGTTTCAGATTACCACTTGATAAATCCCAATTCTAAGAATAAACACATGACATACAATTCGCTGAAAAAAAAAAGAGATATTCGAGCACTGCCGTACGTTAGGCAATGTCGAATCGATACGTTTGCGGCATATTTTTCTTGTACGTGTTTGATACTTTTCTTCCATCGTTGAGAAATCAATTCGACAGCGTTCATCTTTTTCATTTTTGAAATCAATCTTAAAAGCCAATAAAGTATGTTCAGTTGGAAGCAAGCACGACTACGACTTACAAATGTACGTGAGGCGCTATGCGCATTTTCAATTTGTTCGTTTATTTTATAAGAATAATGTTCCCATTTACCAGATTGTATTTCTACCGACCAAACAGCACCACGAGAGATGACCTTAATGCGGGTAGTTCGAAGCATTTCGTTTGTTAATTGAAGGAAGTATTTATCAGCTTCCATAACCTTAAGCAAGACAATAAATTTCAAGATGTTTTATCCAAAAGAATAACTTACTGCATCTCTTGGTCCAACTAAATCTAGAGTAGCACGTTGGATATCAAGTGTCGGTATTACTCGTTTTTGTAAACAATACTCATAGTATTTTCGAATTGTGTCCTGTGACCAATCACCCACATCATCCTTATCGGATAGGTGAAGTTTAAATGAATACGATTGAGCTAATTGTTTTATTTTGTTCTGACATTCACTCAGGTCATGTGCAGTCGGACCGGTCAATTTGATTCTTATCGCTAAAAGTGAAGAAACTGGTCAGAAATCGCTTCATTTTCATGAATATATACTTTGTTTATCGAAAGGAATGGTATTCGGAATATGTATTTTGTTTTGTATTGTATTCATTTGGTCGACGAAAGCGTCGTAGACAGTCGACGCTTCAGGTAATAGTACAAATGAGACCAACAGACGGGATTGAGTTAGTATTCTTAATGACTTATATGCTTCACCAATCATGTGCTCAGCAATCAGTTTCGGATTATAACCCAGTTGGCCACAACCAATACTGGGAAATGCTAAAAATAAGTACATTACTTCGAACTGTGATCGATGAAAGACGAACCGATTGTTGTAAAATTATTTTGAGATGCATAAGTAACGACCGATGTTATAAATTGCTCAATAGATTGTTGTAAGACTTGTGGATCGTTTGTAGATGGCTTCCATGAACGGAAAACGATTTGTTTACAGGGTAAATGACCACCTCTTGTTTCAAAATTTAATTCGTTCTGAGCTGATTTTTCACGATACGTAGCCTGCACTTCGAAGCCAGCTTTTGCAGTGATCGCATCACATAAGTATCTCGATGATGAACAAGCAACGATGATGTCAGTCTGAATCATATATCATAGTTGAACAGAATATCAGAAGTTTGGATCCGACCAGAAATACTTACTGCTTGTTCTGTTAAATCGCCTACACACACGGCAATCTTTGAATTGCTAACAGTAATGGATATATCAGCGTTTGCACTCACTGCCGACTTCATCGAAGCTGGAGAAATATTCTGTTGTGTATTTGGTGAAAGTTGGGTGTTGGACGCGTTCCGTCGAAATATTTTCGAAATCCAGGATTGTTTTGAGCTCGTAGAGGACGTTGTAGGATTTTCTGTAGATGGGATCTCTTCTGACACCGAGCAGCCCGATGTACTGTTATCCATCTGTTCCTCTTTTGCCTTCGGGAGTTGGATCTGAATCTGAGTACGAATGACTTCTTTCGCTATAGAACATTTTGATTCAACGACAGCTACAACTCGATTCCAGTCTTGACTAACTAGATGTTCGAAACCAACTTCATCAATATCGAATGCTATCGATGTACTTTGAATGTCCTTAGGAGTTATTGGAATATTTTGCTCACGAGTAGGTGATACAACGGGAAGCTGGACAGGTGCTGGTGGTTTCGGTTGATACGAACCCGGAGTGGTTGATCTTGGGACTGCTAATGGAACATGATCTTTTTGCTCCTTTTGTTTACTTAGGAGTTCAAACTGTTGTCGATAGGATTTGACCAAATCAGCTTCGCCGTAAAGCGTGATCGTTTGTTGCTCATCCAATAGACATATACGTTTGCCATACTCATTATGCCGAAGAATAGCCGTTTTTAACGCCGCCCATTCATTCGTACAGGTTGCTGTTGAACACTTGGCTGAAACTAAAAGGCTTCTACATATTCTCTCTAGATGTTGTCCGTCAGCGCCTAATTCGTGATTTTTGGAGTCGACATAATGTATGATCACCGCAGATGGCAATGGTTGCTGACAAACACAGATAATATAATGCAAACGACATTGATGTTGTAGAAGGTCGATAATACCATTTATTTTCGCCCAATCTCGATCTAAATTGAGAAAATTATCCGATGAACTAACAGAAAGCCATCCTAACCAGATACTGTATCGAAAGTCTTTGTATGGCATAGTGAAGTTAAGACTGCTAGTTCTTTGAATACTCTGTCGATCGAATTCCACTGGCCAACAACTTTCACTGCAAAATTTCCGTTCATTATACATTCGAAATCAATTTCAACGTTATATAGTTTAGATAAATATATATGTAAACAATTTTCGAATGATTTGTCGGCGAATAAAGCTCGTTGTGATGCATTAGTGATTGGTAAAATTCTACGTTCGGTAACATTCTCATCTTTCACAGTAGATCTAGAGAACAAAATAAAGTTTAACATGGAGAAGGCGTATCTATATACCTAGGACTGCCAGGCGCTCGAGTGGTAGGTGTTAATGATAGTCTAAGTGATGACCGTCGTCTAAAAGGAAAACCAAATAAGCATCATTGACAGGTGCTCTTAATCGTACTCTTCGGTCACGGGTCTGACTGAATCCCAGCCATTTGATACTGTTGATAAAACTCGGTTTTCTGTTGAATGGTTCGGAAAGAGGTCATTCATAATAGCCGACGCCTTCGATTTTTTCATTGCTAGCACATAGTTAGGTTCTTTACTACAATGAAATGCTACAAACGACGAATATGTACGTAGAATATTGAGTTGTGCTACACGTTGTTGTAAAACAACTGAACGGATATCGAATTTGCGCATAAACTGACTGGTTGTCTTATTGAGATGGTTAGTAGCATCGGCCACAGTCCACTTCTTCAAATTTTGATCATAGAACATTTCAACAATGGCTTCCTGAACAGTAGAATTGCAGCCAAGCTCGGATTCTGCAAATATAAAATTCTCGTCACGCCTATACTTCTCAAGTTGAGTACAATCAGCTTACTTATATGATTTCGGTATTCAGCACCGAATATTCGATGATTAACAATTATGGTCCAAGTCCAACGAAGATTGATTGTAACTTTTGACATGTTATTACTAGCGTTTGAAGACGTCAACACTTTCGAGGAACTTCTATTGACTGTCCAGGTATCCATAACATACGGTATAGAATTATCTGTGTCAACAAGACTTCTTGATCGGCTACGTCGACGTGTCCTGGCATCAAAGCCGTCACTACTTCGTTCGATAACACTATTTGAACGACTACGTTCGAGTAATCCTTTGGATGTAGCATTGTCTGTCTGTGTGATGGGATTTTGTGGCCGACGACGTCGAGGTCTTCTTTTCGACTGAGTACTAAATGCGTGCCCGGAAGCTTCTTGCACATTTGCTCGTTCCATTAATGATACCACTTGATCCGGTGCTGTTGATTCATTAGTGGGAACAGCCGATATCTATATTACGATATGATTCCTTCTTTTGTTATAGAAAACCGCAAACAATATTACTCTCTTATAGAATTTAATTAAACGAACAAGCAACGGTGGATCGATATTTGCGCAATGTAATCGTTCAACAACTCGTCGATTGGATCCTCGAGTAAAATCGTGAGGAAACCGACAGCCTTTTTTCGAACAATGACCAAAGTAGCGGCATAAATGAAGCCGATTGCAACTTGGATTGGTGAAAGAACATTTTCCATGAAAAAAATCTTCACATATATCGACCTGCGACGTACAATACAGATATATTATTGAAAATAAAACAGATATTGAAGAAATTTACTGTAGGTGCAACATAGACAAGAAATGTGCCATTTTGGTGGTATTTAAGTTGGAATAACGATGGTGATGCGTTTGTTATGCGGCATATCTTTTCAGGAGAGCAAGTGTTGTCTTTGACTTTAATAGCATTGCTCAGCTCGTTGCCCCTTAGATGAGCGACGTTGCGATCAAGAAAAACCGAGATAATTTCATTCAAATAGTTGATCGCCATTATTACTACAACTTCTAGGACAAATAGTTTATACAATAGTTCGTGTGGTTTACAAGCAATAATTGGAGTAATTGGATAACTTGTTTAACATCAGATTTAACATTCATATTTTTATTTATTTTAAACGTGTAAAGCTTTTCGAAGCTAAACTTCATCATCAGACATAGGTAGAATTAACGAAAAACAAATATAATCACACATATATGTCGCAGGGCTACTTAAAGTATGGGAATATTTAAAATATTCCTGAAAACAGGTAGGAAGATTTGTAATGTCCGTATTAAAATTTCAGTTTTTTCTGGCTTTCTACATTTTAATTTGTCCTGCGGCATATATGTAAAAAGACATTCTACAAATATAAAGATCTCCAGCGATGTATTCAAAAGAAAAACTTCTTAACTCTCTGGAAGTCTTTACATTTGTAAAATGTCTTCTTACGTGTATATATATATATATGTGATTATATTTGTTTTTCGTTAATTCTACCTATGTCTGATGATGAAGTTTAGCTTCGAGAAGCTTTATACGTTTTAAATCAATGAAAATATGAATTTTAAATCTGCTGTTAAACAAGTTATCCAATTAATTAGTTTATACAACGAGAGAAGAGAAGCGAAACAGCGTCAACACGTGCGTAAAGTCAGTAACATATCAATCAGTCGCGTGTTCGCGTAGGTATACATCGGAAAAAACATGCCTTCATCAAATGTGTTTTTTAGCCTCGACGAAGGCTTGTTTTTCACCTTTCCACTTCCCCTCTCTAAATAAAAAAATACTTCGTTTTCTGTCTTCAAGTTTCGATTACTAAACGCAAAAGTACGATAAAAAAATCACTATCGCTCGAAAAGTCTTCATTAGATGGTATATACAAGTATAGCATTATGTCATACACTAGAGTGAATAGAAGACAGAGATTGTTCTTTTTCAGGAACCGAACCGATTAACTATTTGTCAGTGAGTAATTCTCGAGAACTAACTACATTGACTGAAAACCCCATCCCTCAATGGCTAGTCGTTTGTCAACCTCCCTCCGGTCGGCCACTCACGACCAGCCATCCACCTTTTTCATCTGTTGTTCTATTTTCACGCCAAACAGTTGACCCGCTCATAACTGATCGGCTTCTCATCCGAGATATTGAAACTTTTCATAATAGTGTGATTTTTGTCACAGATTCTACTCTTCTTTCCACTTGCGGAACTCGATAATTGAGTGGTCTCGTTCTCAAAAAGAGTATTAGTTAAATTTTTTTAAAGATCATTTAAAATATCTGCGTCTTTCAACTCTCATTTACGCTGAGTCGGTCTGCAACCGAAGCTGTCAAAGTTCGACATAACTGTGCGATTTGCAGGACATTTTCTATTACTCTTTTCAATTTAAAGAGCTGATAATCTGCAGGACTTATTCTCGAAGCTCGAAAGACATCAGTAATATTCGTTAAAAAATCATTGACATAAACTGAGACTCTTACAAATCTTATCTCTCAAGTAGTTTTTGAAACAAACGTCTAGTCGTTCGTCGACCTCCCTCCTGTCGATTATGCACGACTAGCCCTTGCCACCCAACCTCTGTTATGCCTTTCACATTTGACTAGCCTTTAAACTGAATAACTGTGCTTCATTTTATTGTGGTTTCGAAAGTGCTGATCTTCCATATATTTGATCCTGAAAAGAAAATACATAAAAGTTTTATTTTATTATTTGCTGTGAAAAGAACACGCATCATAATGCACCCTATGTTTAGAATACTATTTGTATAGGCCATGTCTTTGTAGTTAATAAGATGGAATTTCACTTACGGGTATATTACTCTGGCTCATGTTTCCACTAAATTCCTATTGGAAGACTAGGTGTATCGCAGCCTAGAAGACACAAATGGTATTAACCTTATACCACTTTTTATGATTTCTTGGACTAGAAATATCATGATATATGGTATATTAAATCTTCTTCTGTAAACTTCTAAAGTACTCTATTGGTCCACATCACATCCAGCAGTAGCGTTGAAACCACTACCTTCTACAAAAGATTTTAGGACGATAGAGAAAAATATCTCTTCTGAAAAAAACGAAAGAAGCCGAAGGTTCTTGACTAAGAAAAAACTAACGTCATTATAACCAACTTGAGAAGAGAAGTGCCCGTGATATGATGACACACACTTTATTTGGCTTCTTCACGTAACAAGCTCCTGTTTAGTTATGAGATACACGCTTATATAGGCAACAGAGAACAATGGATATCAGCCAAGTATAGCGGTCATGCTAGTGTCGACGAGTCAAGGTCGCATACAGGTCAGAATATAGCAATATATACCGTTACAGTCATATTTGAGTTCTTCGACCTTGATGTCCTTCGGTCAACCCTTACTCGACAAAAAAATTTTTCTCCTTACTTAATTAGTCAGTTAGCTAATTAGCTAATTAGAATTTTAAGAAACTAACATCAGATTCGGAATCCTCAACTCCAATTACTTTCCATCAATCGTTTTCTAATAAGTACCGTTAGGTTTTCATTGATTTATAAAATGCAGCAATCTGATTGGATTATGCAAACAAACTTTTAGCATTTTAACGACCGTATTTTATATGCTATAATTCTTTTTGTTGCAGAAAAGAGAATTAGAAACGAATTAAAAATAAACAGCGAGTAATCGAGCTTCCAGAATCTGCAGAAATCCGCTAGGAGAAAGATCGGATTTTGTCGGAGGCCAGAAATGCTAAGAATCTTGGACTTTCGGCGTATTCCCATCGCATCCGCTGGAGTTTACTCGCTCTGAGCAACCATCCTTTAAAGCGTAATTAAGACTGGGAACCTCAAACTTTACATTAGCTTCT